AAAACTATAAAACATTTGTAGATTTGGGGGAGTTTGGGCAAGAATAAACGCATGAAGAGTAGGTGATCATTGTCTGTTCTGGAGGCGAGTGACTAAAGCCAGAGGGTTTATGGTGGATATTAGGGAGGTAAGACTTTTATCAAGGACCTTGTTTGCCAGATTAAAGAGCTGCTCCCTGAAGGAGCCATTGTAAGGACTTTGTCAGTGAGGGACTGGGGCTTGGTTCTGAAAATACTCGTTAGAAGCTGGTTTTTTTGTTTTTTGTTTTGTTTAAAGATTTTATTTATTTTAGAGAGAGAGGGACAGTATGAGCAGGAGGGGCAGAGGGAGAGAGAGAATCCCAAGCAGACTCCATGCTGAACGCACAGCCTGACACGGGGCTCGATCCCAGGACCCTGTGATTCTGACCCAGAGTCAAAACCAAGAGTCAGACGCTTAACCAGCTGTGCCACCCACGCACCCCTGTTTAGAAGCTGTTTTGAAATATGGTTTTAGGCTGTTAGGTTATCTTGAGAGATAGTGTAAAGGTTTATTAAAATCTCCTCTATCTAGATTTCAGAAATACAGAGGCCTCAAGAGCTTCCGGACATCTCCATGGGATCCTAAGGAAAACCTTCCTCAAGATTATGCTCGGATCTTTCAGTTTCAGAACTTTACTAATACTAGGAAACGCATTTTTAAAGAAATTGAGGAAAAAGATGTTGAAGGAGCTGAGGTATCTGCCTTCCTTTGTCCATCCTTATAATGTGCTTCTGTTTGCCAAGGTGCCCTGTCCTTTACTCCTTCTCTTGGCATGAGTACCTTAGGTTTGTGCTGCCCATAGCTGCATTAAAGGAGTCAGTGAGTCACTGGTAAGAGTGATATTGAGAACAAAGAGATTTCAGATGGTAACTGAAAAAGTTTAATCCATGTATTGAGGCATCTGTGAAAGGCAGTTTTGAAGGGTGAGGGTAGGCTTTAGAGTAGTCTGAAAAACTTTTAACATATTTGGAGAAATGCTTCATCATTATTGAGACCTCAAGGGTAACTGCATGATTATTTTCTGTTTTCTTCTGGCAGGTTGGCTGGTATGTCACACTTCATGTCTCTAAAGTCCCTGTCTCAGTGTATGAGTACTTTAAACAAGGAGCACCCTTGATTGCATTTTCTTTACTACCTCATGAACAGAAGGTGAGTTAGTGTCTTGTGGGAAATGGAGAGTTATGAAACTTTCCAATCAGTTTTGTATTGTATGACAGTCTAAAATTTTATGTGGCTGACATTTTCCTCATTGGGATCGGAAAAATCTGCTTTAGGATTAGGAATCAAAAGAATATGATAGAGAAGTCAATGATGGTGTTACCCAACGTGTCTGAACCTGTCTGAAGCATCTCAGTGATGCAGTCTCTGTGTTCTGAGACTTCTCTAAGTATGTTCATCAGATAAGATTTTAACCAAGGGTTGGCAGCCTTAAATGGGGTGGGGTTATGCCATGACGTAGATCTCTTTTTTTATCTTGGTGGCCAGCAGTCGTGTGTGGGCATGGATGTGAGAGCTCTGGCCTTTGGTCAGTTTGAGAGTTGAGGAGGGAAGGGTCTTGAATGAGTATGGTTTTGAGGCATGTGCTGAGTGAGTGACTTGAAGGCACTGATTTTGTGGCAGATGTTGAGCTTTTGCAATGTTAGACACCGGAAGGTTAGCTTGTATAGAAGGATACGTGAAAGGCTCTGAAAACCAGCCTATGTTTGACTTGAATTTCAGTTGTCAGTAAATGTAAAAGGTGAATCTCGTTTTGTCAGCTATACTTCTCCATAAGAAAGTATTAAAGGGAATCTGAACCTGCTAGTTTGGTTCACCTTCTTTCAATTAAGGCTGCTCTATTTTATATATGAAGGTCTCTTTTACTTATGTGGTCCCCAGATGTCAGTACTGAATATGGTGGTGAGCCGGCACTCTGGCAACACTGAACCTGTGAAAGCCAAAGAGGAGCTGATCTTCCACTGTGGGTTCAGGCGCTTCCGAGCCTCACCTTTATTCTCTCAGCACACTGCAGGTAAAGCAGTGGGGAAGCTTCTGGGTTCTTGTCCATCTTAATGTCTCCTGGGGGACTATGATTTGTAGTGGGGGTGTGTGGAATACACAATTTCAAACTCTAGGTTTCTGGGTTAGGGATATTTTCAGTACTCTGGTCTAGGAGCCAATGATGCTTTTATTCACAATGTCTGAACCTGTCTGAAGCATCCCAGTGATGCAACCTCTGTGTGGTGCTGAGGCTTTTCTGCCATGAGTATTTGTTGCAAAGTGGTTTTGAATAGGAGTCAGGGGCTCTATAAAATGGTGTCAAAGTGTAGAACCCTTGGCATCGGATGGTCAGTGGCAGTGTGGGTGAAGGCTAAGGGTGGCCCACAGTTGGGTAAGAGAGGTAATGTGGCTGGCATCTGAGATGTTGAGATTAGATGTTGAAGAGTGGTGACCAGGGACACTTTTTTATGGTAAAATGATTATACTCCTACACATTAGGAGTGGAAATATACTTTGCACTAACTTGGAGGCTTCTGAACATCACCTGTACACATTCAGCTCTCAGCAATGGCTGGCGGAAGATGATGAAGGCAGTATTAATGGATGCTCTGGATAATTTTTGTTCTTACTAGCCATGCTATCTAAATGAGTGATAAACCTCTCTTTCCCTTAAAATATTTTATTTCCCTATAACTTTAGTATTAAGAAGGGGGGAGGGTTTCATTGAAGATTAAAGCAGAAGCTTAGGTAGGCCTCAGGATCAGAGATCAGCAAAGTATGGCCCTTAGGCCAAATCTGCCCCACCTCTTGGTTTTGTTAAATAAAATTTTGTTGGAACACAGTTGTGGGGTTTTTTTCTTACGTATTATCTGTGGCTATTTTTCTGCTCTAGTGGCACAATTGAGTAGTAGTTGAAATAGAGACTGTATGGCCATAGGCCTGAAATATTTACTATCTGGCCCTTTATAGAAAATGTCTGCCAATCCTTTCCCAAAACTAAGAGCTGTTGATTTAGTGGAGATATTCTCTGTAAAGCATTGTTTCTCAAATGAGGTGTAGGGGTGATAAGTATCAATCATCTGGAGAATTTTTTCAAACCCTAAATATAGTCCAAGCTCCAAAATTCTGCCTCCAGTTGAAAAATCACTCTGAAGAACTGAGTTGTATCTTTCAGTTGTATTGAGGTAGGAACATATTTTGAGAACTAGCCTGGTAAAGAAGCATAAGTTGTCTTCGGTTTAAGAGTTACAGTGATACAGCTTTTCACAGGTTTCTAGATTACCTATGGTTTCTGAAAAACGTTTTCATTTTTCTTTTTTAACCCCTATTATGGTAGCGGATAAACATAAGTTTCAGAGATTCCTGACTGCTGATGTGGCCTTGGTGGTGACAATATATGGCCCAATCACGTTTCCACCTGCATCTGTGCTGCTTTTCAAACAGAATAGCAATGGTAAGTTAAGTTCACTGAGGTGAACAGGTCTGCAGGTCCTTTATAAGTTTAAAACTATTTTCTGTGTTTAGATTTAAGAGCCATTTGGTATGAAGAAGGTAATGATAGTTTTTGAAACATCCCAGTCTCAGCCTCACGATGGTCTGAGGTAAGGATGACAAATGGGATTTTATCTTGCTTACAAAGCATAGCTAATTGGTGGATGCTGCTCAGACAATTATATTTAGGATAGGTTCTGGGGCCAGGCTTAGTGGGAATTTCCTTTAATCATCTTTGCCATTGATTCAGGAGGGCAGCATAACATATCCCTACTTTACAGTTTCTCTAAGAGTTTGTTTAGGTCTTTAAACGAACTGGAGCAACAAATGGAAGGCCTTGGCTTACATGCCTGCTGCTCTGCTTTTGCTCCTTAGGAATGCACAGCCTCATTGCCACAGGCTCTCTCCTGTCAGTGGATCCGGACAGAATGGTCATCAAAAGAGTTGTTTTGAGTGGTCATCCTTTCAAAATTCTTACTAAGATGGCAGTAGTGCGTTACATGTTCTTCAACAGAGGTAGGTGTGAAGGATGGGATCAGATTGCCTTTGTGGGGTGAGGGTTGGGTTTACGTTTTGTGGGCATATGTTTCATCTTGGTCTTCTATGTGTTTCATTCTAAGAGGATGTGTTGTGGTTTAAACCAGTGGAACTGAGAACAAAGTGGGGCCGCAGGGGACACATCAAGGAGCCTTTGGGTAAGAAAACATGGGATTTGGTGCCTTGCCCAGGTTTTCCCAGTGCTACTAAATGACTCTTGGGTTAGCAGACTACTGCTTTAAAATACTCTATTTTAATTTGACTAACTTGCTGTTTTCTTTCTAGGTACTCATGGCCACATGAAGTGCAGTTTTGATGGGAAGCTAAAATCTCAGGACACAGTCCTGATGAACCTCTATAAACGAGTTTTCCCCAAATGGACTTATGATCCATGTGTACCAGAACCAGTACCATGGATGAAAAGTGAGATTTCTTTAGCAGTGCCTGAAGTGGACATGGAGTAATGGATTCATTGGGATTCTGTCTCATTGTTACTAGGAAACACTCTAGGGATGGGAGCCTACAGGTTGTAATTAGGCAAAGTTTGTGTTTTCTACTTTAGCCTAGAGGTCTACTGCCTTTTTGCAAAAGGCTTTTCTTGGCCTTGACAAGGTATCTCAGTAAACTATGGATGTTTTTCTCTTGCTACTTAGTTAAAAAAGAAAAAACAACTATTACTGAAACATCCACTCTCCACTAGGAATTTGAAAGCTGTTTAAGAGAGGAATATAGAAGTTAAAGTAACCAGGAAACAAAATTTCCAAGTGTTTAGAGATACTGAATGCCATCTCTTTCGCATAAACTAAACAGAAACAGATTGATAAGGAGCTGGCCTTTCAGCCTGCTTCACCCAAGTTAGAGAGGTTAGGTCTACATTTCCACCACTGAGCACAATACAAATGTTCTTTACTTCTGGGGAAACTGTTTGAAAATGCTGAGACAGCACAGCAGCGACTCCAACACCAGCTGTAGGTTCAATAAGCAGTTTCATCCTCTCCCACACCAGCTGGGTTGCATACTGTTGGTATGGAAGACAGTAAGAATTAGTGAAATGGGAAAAGGGGAAAGAGCCTATTTACAATTAAAGGCCAGATGGGGTTATATACCCAGTCTGGTCTTTTCTTCCTGGCCATATGTATATGCTCGCCAATGAAAGGCAGGGCTTTTTTCCCATTCTAACTCTGCTTCTACTGTTGAGAGAGTTGTCTTAATACATCTGGGGCACCATCCCACGTCATGAAGTCACGTAGTTAGGTCCCCAGGGAGTAAGTTGCTACTCAACAGATGACTCTCTTGCCCAAGAAGTTGCTCCATTCTTTCGTATTTTCCTTTCCTATCAGAGCCTCACCTTAATTTCATCCTCTGTGACCGTGAAGACATCATCAACAAGGTCCCTTATAATAGGCCAGGTGTTTAAGCCAATGCTGGATTTGACACCATCTGCTATGGTTTCTGGAGCACAGGGATTAGGAGTCAGTTCCCCTTTCAGCTTGGACTGGTAGCAGTCATCTGCATTCAGGGGTTCAGCAGCATATACCTTCACAGTAGGTCTCAGAGCCTGAGAAGAGGAATATTAGACATTTTAAAACCAGCCACAGCATTTTGCCTGCATACCTGTAGTAAAATAGGCAATATAGGTAACTCATTTCTGTTCAAGAGCCTTTCCCTTGATTGATGTAATAAAAATAGACCAAGCATTTTAAAATATATGCCTAATACTAGCCTTTAGTTGCTTAGATCACATCTGGTTCTACTGGTAACTAGGGAAAGGAGTAGCCCCTGACTTGGATAGTGGGTTGTTGAGGTGGAATTCAGAGAAAGGACTCTGAGGATGCCACTCATTGTAACTGCTTTTGCCCTATAAAGTTGTTACAGATTAAGAACAGGGTAGTGAGGCAGAGAAGAGGCTTCCATTTCAAGTGCCAAAGGTTGATGGGAAGGAACAGCAATTGGGAATGTTGAGCCAAGTATCCGCAATGTACTATGATGTAAAATAAAATTCTCTATGTCTGAAGTGGGGAGTTCTCCAGAAGCTATTTTTTTTTTTTTTTTACCTTAACTGTAATTGCTATTCCAGCAACCATTCCTCCTCCTCCTACAGGTACCACCAGCGCATCTACCAAGGGTACCTTTAGTGAAAAGAATATAAAGTATAAATAGGTCTATTAATAACCAGTTTTATATATACATAAAATAATTGTACAGCCAAACAGCAGCTTTACCGGTGGCTAAACAAGAATTAACAGCTCTAACCTGGTTTAGTACTTCCATGGCAATTGTCCCTTGCCCAGCTATCACTGCAGGTTCCTGGTTGGGATGTACCATGATGCCTTCTGTTTCTTCCATAATTCTTCTTGTAACATTTTCTCTGGACTGAAAGAGTACATTAAACTAACATGCTTGTTTTGTATTTAAGAGTTCCCAACAAGGTAGATTTAGTCATTTAACACTTTATTAGCCATCTTTCTTTTTTCAGACTTTTTGGGCACTGGGGATATAACAGTGAACAAACTAGTCCCTGTACTCAGTGGAGTTATGTTCTAATACGATGGGGATGGGTGGCATATAAGTGAATATATGGTATGTCTAAATGCTATGGAGAATAAGTGTTTTATAGAGGGTGTTCAGGAAGGGCCTTTGGTAATGTGACATTTTAATAGGTTTGAACAAGTGCTGTGGATCTCCAGAATATTCCAGGGGGAGAAAAATAGCAAGTGCAAAGACCACAAAGTAGCAGTGCTTGGCTTTTCTGAGAAAAGGCTAAGTTAGTGTGGTTGGTGTGGAATGTTTGGTGGGACAGTAATAATGGGAGATGATGTCAGAAAGATTGAAATGGGCCAATTCATCCAGGCCTTAAATGATTGCAAGAATTTTGGTTACCACATGGGATTAGAGGATTTTCAGCTGACGAGACAAGTTTTAACTTATTAAATGGATAGTTGTGGTTGTTTGTTAGAAAACAGACTAGTTGGGCAAGGGTGGAAGGAGAGAGACCACTTAGGCTACTGTATCTAGGTGAAAACTGATGTTCATTTGAATTAGGGCATTGATGACAAAGGCTGTTAGAAGTAGTTGGATAATAGAAACGATATTTGTTTTTAAGTTTATTTATTTTTAAGTTATCTACATCCAACATGGGGCTTGAAATCATGACCCTGAGATCAAGAGTCGCATACTCTTCCAACTGAGCCAGCCAGGTGCTCTGGATAATAGAAATGATTTGAAAGTAGGACTAAGATTTGGATGCAGGGTGTGAGAGAGTTCTCAAAGATGACTTCATTTATTTTGAGCAACTAGAAGGATAAAAGTTGCCATTTACTGAGATGGGGAAGACTGGAAGAGGAGCAGCACTGGGGAGGAAGATCAGGAGTTTGATTTTAGACATGTAAGTTTGAGACGCCTATTAAGACAGTCCAAGAGGGATTATTAGGTAGTCATTGGACAATATAAGTCTGGGTTAAGGGCAAAGGTCAGGACTGGAGTTAAGAGTACAGGTGATATTTTTTTTCATATATTTTTTAAAGATTTTATTTGAGAGAGCAAGAGCCAGGGGGAGGGGCAGAGGGAGAGAGAGGCAGACTCCCTGCTAAGTGCAGAGCCCCACACAGGGCTCATTCCCATGACCCTGAGACCATGACCTGAGCCGAAACCAAGAGTTGGTTACCCAACTGACTGAGCCACCCAGGCACCCCAGAGTATAGGTGATATTTTAAACTGAGATTAATGATCTCATCCGAGTGAGTATAGGTACACAAAAGGTTGGGTATGCTAACATTGAAAGGTGAAGAGGAAACAGGAGATAGAAGGAACAGCTGGTAGGCTAGGAAGAGAAGTTTCATTTGATGGTGAAGTTGTTAAGGTGACGCTGAACACTGCTCTCCTCCTTACCTCATCACTCTGTTCACTGTACACTATGGCGGCTCCATAGGCTTGTATTGCCAATTTTTTACAATTGGGAGCTGTTCGGGGCACCACAATATAAGCAGGAATCCCTGGGGGGGAGAAACACGTTTAGTTAGTACAAATCAGAAGAATTGAGGATAGAAACTTCTGTTCAATTTGCTTTAATGAGATAAGAACCTGGAAATAACCTCACAGTAATCACCAATCTCACTGAGTAAGAATACTTTTCCACTCTTCTCTGATGATCCTACCCAGTACCCTGAGAAGTTAGTCAAGTACCTTCCAATTTGGCAGCATAGGCGAGAGCCTGGCCATGGTTTCCACTGCTGTGAGTAACCACAGCTTTGGGCTTCTCTTCTGAGGTGGCAGGAGTCAAGCCTTTGATTGCATTAAGGGCACCACGAATCTGGAAAAGGGATGGTGAAACCATGTATTTGATTAAAAAGTTTCTTTTCAAAACACCAAGGAGCTTTCCTAGATTTTCTCTTCCTAACACCGCACATCCATTCTATCACGAAATCTTATTGATTGTACCTCTGAAATATCTCATGTCTTTGCCACTACCTTGGTGAAGCCTCATTTCTCAACTTGGATGTTACCAAACCTCAACTGATCCTGCCCCAAGGATCATTCTCTAATATTTCCACTAGATTATGAAAGTGACCTTTTAAAAATGTTATCTTTTTATTGATGCCTATTTTGTAAGTACAAATTCCTTACAAGTTGCAGTCTTTCTAAAACATACTTACTGCTTCTGTCACTGTTGTAGCCATCCTAAATTGCTTAGTTCCCCTCCTACAGGTTAGGTCACACCCCTGTACCTACATATAGTTCTTTTCCTTCACCCTGATCTGGCTAAAAGTACTCAACCTATAAAATTTGGATCAAACATCACTGGGTTCAACTTCCTTCATCTCCCATGCAAAATTAGGCATTTCATTCCATGGCATTTTATTTGTATCTTTCAAGTTACTTGTCATTAACCTGGTTGTTGATTAGCTTGTCTTACCCCGCAAGTGTGAATAATAGTACAAGACCTACTGTGTATGTATATACATGTGTGTACGCCTAGTATAGTTAATAAGTATTTGATGTGTAATGAATGAAAAATAAACCATGGCAGAAGCAAAGGGCAAAAGAGAATATAGTGTTTAACATAAACACTCATAAAGTGCTCATTAATGGGTGGGGAAACGCAGTCTTAAAACTACGACTTAGCGGGTACAAATACCTATCAGGCATAGTGTTAAATTCAACTTTCAGATTTTTACCTGAAAGGATCCTAAAACTCAACTAACAGAAATTACTGCAGTGAATCAATACAGAAGTCTTTTATCTTTTTAAGTTTTTAAAAATTTATGTAAGTAATCTCTACACCCAACGTGGGGCTTGAACTCACAACCCCAAAATCAAGAGTTGTATGCTTTTCTGACATATTTCATAGAAAAAGATCTTATTGTATGAGGGCTTAGCTAGATTTAGATCTTTTATATTCATAATAAGGTATCAATGAAGAGCAAGTTGACACAAAGTGAATGCCTAAACTTGGTTGTATACAGAGTGATCACACTTGCCCATGTTGCCTTGCGATAACAGAGGCCAATGTCTATTGTCTCGGTTTAACCACAAGTTGCCCCTTTCATTCTCAAACATGTTCTAGTTTGGACAGTAAATTATATCATCACCCCAATTATAAGAAATTTTGAAATTATAAGTGGCTTATCAACACCACAATGTTAAGTAACCAGCACTTGACCAAAGGAAAATTTCTACAACCCTTTCTTCAGCTATAAAAATAGTTCTACCTACCTCACTGGGTGGTCAGGAGGATCAAATAAATGTGTATAGGAAAGAGGTTTGAAAAGATACATGATACATTATCAAAAGGCATTATTACCTTAAAAGATCCAGTTTTTTGGAAGAGTTCACATTTGAAGAAAAGATTGCGCCCTGTTACTTGATTCAAAATGAAACTTGTTAGCACTGGTGTGAGGTGAATAAAATCTTGGATGTTGACATGAGCTTTTTCAACATCAGCAAAGGAGATGCAGTACTGAGCACACATGGTTCTGAAACCCAGGAATAAAAAAGGGGTCAGAGCAAAGCCTGAGACAATATGTTTAATGAAAAGATTTTGAAAATGGCTAACAGACCCATAGAATGTACAAAAGTGAACAATAATGTAAACCATGGACTTTGGTAATGATGCATAATGCAGGTTCAATTGTAACAATCCCGTTCTGGTGGGGGATGTTGATAATGGGGGAGGCTCTGCTTTTGTGGGGGTATGGGTTATATGGGAGGTCTCTTCAACTACTCATCAATCTTGCTGTGAAACTTAAATTGCTCTTTAAAAATTTCCAAAAAAAAAAAAAAGGGTGGGGGAAGAAAATGTACAGCACAGAAAAATACACCTGGCGTCTGTGGTGTTAATGGAATGGTCTCTAGTACTGAGGCTCCAGAATCTCTGTATAAAAGGGAACTTGTCTTGAAGCTGTGTTTCTTAGTAAATATAAGGCTGTTGTTTTTTTTCTGGTTAAGCTTTATAGGAAATAATTGGTGATTATGGAAGGCTTAAAGCTTACCCCTCACCCATACCATCCATCTCTTGGCACTGTCACTGGTCTCTACTTTTTCATCATTGTTGTGAAGCTTGAATGAACTGGGTTCAAAATCTGTTATAAATTTTTATTTAAAAAATTTAACAAGGGGAAAAATTGCTTACAATCCTATCATCCTAATCAGTTATGTTCATTTTCTGTCTCCTGTTTCTTCAATATACATACATTATATGACAGTTAAAATCATAGATAATTTTGTTTATTCCTATTCCAATTGGCTCAATTTCTTCAGTTTCTATAATTATAATTTTCAATAACTTACGCTTCTGTTTTTCACTATTTTTTTTAAAGATTTTATTTATTTATTTGACAGAGAGAGACATAGCAAGAGAGGGAACACAAGCAGGGGGAGTAGAAGAGGGAGAAGCAGGCTTCCCCACAGAGCAGGGAGCCCGATGTGGGGCTTGATCCTAGGATCATGACCCCAGCCGAAGGCAGACACTTAACGACTGAGCCATCCAGATGCCCCTGTTTTTCACTATTTTTAATATAGCATTTAAACATGAAGTTTCCCTTTATTCTTCTTTATGAACAAACAAAAGCAGTGCGTGTTCAATTAAAAAAACGACTTGATGTTTCCTCCCCCAAAACAATTGCTAAGTTCTAGGACTTATCTTTCCAGGCCCACATACATTTACAGACAAAACTTTTTTGACACATTTGGTAACTTGCTTTTTCTCAGACAGTATTATGAATATGAATCTTTGCTTATCAATAGATACACAAATTTTAAATGGCTACTTCTTTTAACAAAAATACCATAGTTTTAAAAAATTTTTTACATTAACTTGAACATTTAGATTCTTTTTTTCCTACAATTTTTTGTCTATAATAATGTAATGAACAGATATGTTGCAAGATCTTTGTGGGTAGCTTCTGCCAAAGGGTATTCTGCATCAAAAAGTATGCACACTTCTGGGCGCCTGGGTGACTCAGGTGGTTAAGCATCTGCCTTCGGCTCAGGTCATGATCCCAGAGTCCTGGGATCGAGTCCCACATCGGGCTCCCTGCTCCTTGGGAGCCTGCTTCTCCCTCTGCTTCTCTCTCTCTCTCTCCCTCTGTCTCTCATGAATAAATAAATAAAATCTTAAAAAAAAAAAGTATGCACACTTCTAAGACATTTGATACCCACTGCCAAACTGACTTCCAGAGGAGTTGTAGATTTTATCAATTTACACTCCCAACAGCAGTTTCTGAGGAATGCCCTTTTTCCCTTCACCCTGCTGTATCATTTTTGATCTGTCAATTTAATGAAATATCTAGTAGTTTGAATACATATTTCTTTACTAGTGATTAAACATCTTTTTCCTGTATATTGGCCACACTCTTTTGTGAATCTTTAACATACCACTTTTGACCAAATCATCTATTTTTTCCTGAAATGCTATGTTTATCAAAAATTAAATTTCCGTTCCCCCTGCTTGTGTTCCCTCTCTGGCTGTCTCTCTCTGTCAAATAAATAAAATCTTTAAAAAAAACAACACTGAGCTGATTTAAAAAAAAATTTAAATTTCGGGCGCCTGGGTGGCTCAGTTGGTTAAGCGACTGCCTTCGGCTCAGGTCATGATCCTGGAGTCTTAGGATCGAGTCCCGCATCAGGCTCCCTGCTCAGCAGGCAGTCTGCTTCTCCCTCCGACCCTCCCCCGTCTCATGTGCTCTCTCTCTCTCTCTCAAATAAATAAATAAAATCTTAAAAAAAAAGACTTTATTAAAAAATTATATTTCTGTTAACGCTTGGGACCTTTCTGGACTTTATATTTTGTTCCACTAGTCAGACTGCCAATTCCTTCTCCATTTGTTCACTGTATTAATACATTGTCACGAATACTCTAAAATGTATTGGCTTTGGGGCGCCTGGGTGGTTCAGTGGTTGGGCAACTGCCTTCGGCTCAGGTCATGATCCCGGAGTCCCGGGATCGAGTCCCGCATCGGGCTTCCTTCTCAGCGGGGAGTCTGCTTTTCCCCCTGACCCTCTCCCCTCTCATGCTCTCTCTCACTCTCTTAAATAAATAAAATCTTAAAAAAATAAAAATAAAAAATAAAAAATAAAATGTATTGGCTTTTCTCATACATCAATCCTTTGAAGTGAACTTTCAAAATACTTTATCAAGGCTGCCAGTTTGATACACAAATGAACTGGCAGCATAATTGACATTTAAAAATACTGAGCCTTCCCATCCATGAACATGGGTATCTTTCCATGTCTTTCAATTTAGTAAAGTCTTTTTGTTTTAGGTTTCTCAATAAGGTTTTCATTCTGTAAGTCCTGTGTAGATCTAATTAAATTTATGCCTAAGTACAAAATATTTTTGTTGCTTTTTAAAAGATTTTATTTGTCAGAGAGAAAGAGTGCAAAAGCAGGGGGAGGGGCAGAGGAAGAAGCAGGCTCCCCGCTGAGCAAGGAGCCCAATGCAGGACTCGATCCTAGGACACTGGGATCAGGACCTGAGCCAAAGGCAGCCGTTCAACCGACTGAGCCACTCAGGCATCCCAAGATAAGGTATTTTTAATTGGTATTTAAATTGCTTACTGATGATGTATATGAAAATTAATAATTTTTGTATATTTAGCATGCAATAGGATACTTAAGTAGATTAACTTGTTAGATCTAATAGTTTTATAGTTCACTCTCCAAACAATCACACTATCTACAAATAAAGATGATTTGTCTTTACCTTGTAATTTTACCTCTGGTAACTTTTTCAGTGACTTCACAGTTAATTGGTTTATCTAGATTTGCCACTTCCACCTGAATTAATTTTGGTAATTTATATTTAACTTTTTGGGGAAATCATCTAATTTAAAATTTCAAATGTATTAGTATAAAGTTGAACACATTAATATTTCTAAGCATTCTTCCTATCTTTGGTATTCATTTATTCAGTTAACAAATATTGAGCACCTCTTTATATCAGGTATGATTTGATCCTGGGATGTAGTATTAGAAAAATAGACTTGTCTCTGCTCTTAAAGCTTATAATCTAGTGGAGAGATGTGTAATAAATAATCCAAAAATAAATACATATTTACAAATATTGATAGGTGATATCAAGGAAGTGTGTTAAGTTTCTATAATGGGAGGATATTTAGATCAAGGAAGGAGGTTAAGGAAGGTCCTTTGTGGAGAAGTGAAATTTAAGTTATGACCCATAAGGTAAATGGGGGGAGTAGATGGAAAAGTGTTTCAGGTGGAGGGAGTATGTGTGAAGGCTTTACGGAGGAAAGGAACATGGCATATTCCAGAAACTACAAGGCCAGCGTATCTGAAAACAGTGATCAAAGGGGAGTATGATAAGAGAGAAGGAGAGTGAAATTGGCAGGGTCTACATCATAAGGGACCAGGACTCATGGATTTTTTTTTTTTCTGAAGAGCAATGGAATGCCATTGGACAATTCTGAGCAGGTTATGTGACATGTTAGAATTTGTATTTTCAGAAAATCACTCTGGCCACATTATGCTGAATGAAAAGGAAAGAAATAACATTGGAATCAGGGAGTCCATTTAAGAAGTATTGTCTACATGAAAATCCACAGGTGCTTGGATGGTGAAAGTGAGAGCAGAAAAAATAATCAAGATACATTTTGGAAAAACAAATTTGATTTAAAAATGGGCAAAGGACTTGAATGGATATTTCCCTAAAGAAGATAACAAATGGACACAAGCACATGAAAAGATGCTCAACATCACTAATCATTAGGGAAATTCAAATGAAAACCACAGTGAGATACCACCTTACACCTACTAGAATGACTACTATTAAGCAAACAAGTGTTGGTCAGGATGTGGAGACATTGGACTTTTTGTGTACTCTTGGTGGAAATACAAAATGGCACAGCTGCTATGAACAATATGGTAGTTCCTCAAAGAATTAAACATAGAATTACCATATGATCCAGCAATTCCACTTCTGGGAATATACCCAAAAGAATTCAAAAAGTGTTTCAAAGACATATCTGTACACCTATGTTAACAGCAGCATTATTCATAATAGCCAAAAGGTGGGAGCAACCCAATGAGTAAACAAAATGTGGTATATACATACAATGGAATATCATTCAGCCTTAAAAAGGAAGGAAATTCTGATAGGCTACATGGATGAATCTTAGGGATATTATGCTAAGTGAAATAAGCCAGTCACAAAGAAATAAATACTGTAATGATTACACTTATGTGAGGTACCTAGAGTAGTCAGATTCATAGACAGAAACTAAAATGGTGGTTGCCAGAAGCTGGGGGTGGGGGGGTGGGTAGTTGTATAGTTTCAGTTTTCCAAGATAAAAAGAGTTCTGGAGATTGGTTGCACAACAATGTCAATGCACTTAACACTACTGAACTGTACACTTAAAAATGGTTACAATGGAATATTTCATGTAGACTTTACCACAATTAAGGAAAAAACCACACACACACACACACACACACACACACACACACAAAGAGATACATTTTCGAGATTATAATTAGGCCTCTTGGTTGCAAGTTACAGAATCCCAATATGAACTGGCTTAGGCACAAGATGGAGGTAATAAGATTTACTGGTTCAGGGAATCCAGGAAGAGTTGAACCATGGGAAGGGCAGGAATATGAAACTTCAGGAACAACTGGAACCAGAGACTTGAGATTTTTTCCAGGACTTTCTCATTATTTCTCACCTCTGCTGTTTTCTGCATGTTGGCTTCATTCTTTTTCATTGCAGACCAGCTGGTTCCACATGGCAGGACATTTGGCTGCTGACAGCTCCTGTTTTACATTTAATGGCTTCCACACCGGAAAGGGATTTTTTTCTTAGTTTCAGTTCAAAAATTCTGGATAAGGATTCTGATTGGCACATCTTGGCCTAGGACCAGTGGCCAAGGGTGTGAGATCATTTGACATATGCAACAGTCAGAAGTATTTACAGAAACATGAAAAAGAAACAATGATTTCTATAACACAGTATCAATTATGTACACTTAAAACACATACATAAAATGATATAGTATATTATTCAAAGATACATGTATATCCAAAGACATATATTAAACACAATTAGAGTGGCTACCTAAGAAGGGAGGGAAGGAACATGAATAACTGGAATGAAGGAAAAAAAAGATAAAATGAGAAAGGACTTGTTGATGAAAGGGTGAACCAAATCGTATGATTGCCTCAAATCTCTGTACCTGAGGGAAAAATAGCAAACACAAGTGAGAAGAAAAAAAGGAAAGAAAAAGAAAAGGTACTTCTGAGTGAGAATGGGTGAGGGGGGCAGTTTTCGAGAGAAAAGATGAGAATGTTGAGGTAATAAATACCATAGCTGTCCACTACAGAGATAGAAGGCACATATTCTGATATTGGATTAAATGTGGGGAGTGAGGGAGGTGGGTTTTGACTTAGATGATGGCATAATTTATTGAGATATGGCTGGTGTACAAACAAGTATTTTAAGGGAAAATCAGAGATTTCATAAGTTTGAATTACTTATGAGACATCTAAGAGGATGTTCTTTTTTTCTTTGCCAGAAATGTGTCTATTTTTAATGTCTATTTCTGAAAAATGAGCTCTTCAATTTATTAAGTGCTATTCTTTTTCTTTTATTAATTTGATTTTATCTTTATTTCTTCTATTTTCTCTCTTGTTTAATAATTCTTAATTTTCATTTTTAAAAAATATTTTATTTATTCATTTTAGAGACAACACATGCAATCGGGGAAAGGGCAGGGGGAGAGGCAGAAAGAATCTGAAGCAGACTCTGCACTGATCAAGGAGCCTGATGCAGGGCTCAATCCCACCACTGCAAGATCATGACCCTAGCTGAAACCAAGAGTTGGATGTTTAACCAACTGAGCCACCCAGGTGTCCCATTATTAATTTTAATTCTTTAAAAACTTTTAAGTTTTTTTTAATTTTAAATTTTATTTATTTTTAATTAAGTTTTTAATTTTAATTCCAGTATAGTTTACATACAGTGTTATATTAGTTTTGGGTATACAATATAGTGATTCAACAGTTCTATACATTACTCAGTGCTCATCAGGATAAGTATACTCTTTAGTCCCCTTCACCTATTTCACCCATCCCCCACCAACTTCCCCTCTGGTAACCATCAGTTCTCTATAGTTAAGAGTCTTTTTCTTGGTTTGTCTTTTTCGTTTGTTTCTTAAATTCCACAAGTGATATCGTATGTTACTTGTCTTCTCAAATAGACTTATTTCATTTAGCCTTATACTCTTTAGCTCCATTCCTGTTATTGCAAATAGCAAAATTTCATTCTTTTTTATGGCTGAATAATATTCTATTGTATATCTATACCACATCTTCTGTATCCATTCATCTGTTGATGGACACTTGGGCTGCTTCCATAATTTGGCTATTGTAAATACTGGTGCAATAAACACAGAGGTGCATGTATCCCCTTTGAATTAGTGTTTTTGTATTTTGGGGGTAAATACCCAGAAGTGCTGTTACTGGATCGCTTTCTTTTAAAATTAATAATATAAGCACTCAGGCTATTAATTTTCCTGAGTATTGCTTTAATGATATACCATAGGTTTTGCTATGCAATATTTTCATTGATTTTAATTTTTTAAAAAAATATTATTTAGTTGAGAGACCACGAGAGGGGGGAGGGTCAGAGGGAGAGCAGACTCCCCACTGAGCAGAGCCTGATGCGGGGCCCGATCCCAGGACCCTGGGATCATCACCTGAGCCGAAGGCAGATGCCCAACTGACTTAGCCACCCAAGAGCCCCAATTTTAATTTTTTTTAAAGATTTTATTTATTTATTTGACAGAGAGAGAGACGGCGAGAGAGGGAACACAAGCAGGGGGAGTGGGAGAGGGAGAAGCAGGCTCCCCGCTGAGCAGGGAGCTGGACATGGGGCTCGATCCCAGGACCCCGGGACCACGACCCAAGCTGAAGGCAGATGCCCAACGACTGAGCCACCCAGGCGACCCCCCCAAATTTTAATTTTTAAAAAACCCACAATCTTAGCTTTGTTTACTTTTTGACCTATGAGTTATTTAAAATTTATGTTTAGGGCATCTGGGTGGCTCAGTTGGTTAAGCAACTGAGCAGGAAGTCTGCTTCTCTCTCTGATCCTCCCCCATCTTGTGCTCTCAAATAAATAAAATCTTTTAAAAAAATAAAATTTGTTTAAAAAAATTTCCAAGTAGCAAGATTTTGCTTAATTTTTGATTATTCATTTCTAGTTTTACTACTCTCTGCTCAGCAAACATGACCTGTACAGTTTTTGTTTTTAGAAACTGAATTCCTTCCAGGGCACCTGGGTGGCTCAGACAGGCTGAGTGTCTGCCTTGAGCTTGGGTCATGATCCCAGGATCCTGGGATCCAGCCCTGCATCGGGCTCCCTGCTCAGCGGGGAGTCTGCTTTTCCCTTTCCTCATGCCACCATTCCCTGCTTGTGCTTTCACTCTTTCTCAAATGAATAAATAAAATCTTAAAAAAAAAAAAGAATTTGAATTCTTCCCTTCTCCACTATACAAACTTGTTATTTTTTGGATTACCCATATGTGACCAAATTCCTACTGTAAGAATTTAAACCATTACGGAAATATAAAGACCTTCCACTCTCTAACCCTTAAATCTATTCTCTTCTACAAAGATAACCACTTTAAAAAGTTTAGTATGTTTTCTTGCACACCTTTTTTGGATGTATTTATATAGAAACTTACATAAACAATAAATGGTTTTCGGCTGCACTCAGATAGTATCATACTGTATATATTCTGCTAGTGGCTTTAAATTTTTTTTAATTATATATCTTGACTGTTTCATGTCAAACACATTTTAATTCTTTAAACTCAGAAGCTTTCATTGTAATACAGGTCTAAATAGGATTGTCCATTTATTTATTTATTTAAAGATTTTATTCACTTATTTGAGAGAGAGAATGAGAGACAGAGAGCATGAGAGGGAAAGAGGGTCAGAGGGAGAAGCAGACTGCCCGCTGAGCAGGGAGCCCGATGTGGGACTCGATCCAGGGACTCCAGGATCATGACCTGAGCCGAAGGCAGTTGCTTAACCAACTGAGCCACCTAGGCGCCCTGTTCATTTATTTTTACCTGGTCATTTCATGAACCTTTAAATCTGAGGGCTAAATTTAAGTCTTAAATTTAAATTTTCCCATCAACTTAGTAAATTTTCTTTTATTATGTCTTTGATTCCTGCTTCTCCTCAGTCAGTTCTGTTATCACCTTCTGGAACTTGTATTTTATTATTAGTTTTCTGGATCCATTCTCCATGTCTTCTTTTCTTGTCTCTCATAGTTTTATATTATATTTTCACCTCTGAGTTCTGGTAAATTCTCTTGAGCTGGTTAAACTTTTGACATATCTCATCTGTAGTACAGAGACTGTTGCATTAATTTGGCAATCATGTTTTTCTAAGAATTTTGTTCAGATTATTTTTCCATCTTTTGAAAAAAAAATTGATGTAATGTCCTAACTTCAAAGTTAAAACATATTAGTTTTGGGCTGCCTGGGTGGCTCAGTCAGTTGAGCATCTGCCTTTGGCTCAGGTCATGATCCCAAGGTCCTGGCATCCAGCCCCTCATCCAGCTCCCTGGTCAGCGGGGAGTCTGCTTCTCCCTCTGCCCCTCCCCCCACTCCTGCTCTCTTTCAAATAAATTTAAAAGAGAATTATAGTTTTCAATATTTCTTCCTATTTCATTCGTATGTTTTAAAGATTGCCATTTGCTCTGACCACTCAAATTGATCTCCTTCTTTTGAAACACTGAATCTTTTCACATATCTATTGACTTTATGCATCTGCTTAGCCTTCTGGTGGCAAAATGTGTGTCACATAATAGGGACTGAACGAGTTCTGTCAGAGATTGTTCAAATCTTTTAGACCCAGTCTAAGGAAAATTATTGGTAACTATTCTTTGATGGTGTAGAGGTCCAATAGACTGTATGGGATTGGTAAGGAGCAACAGGTGGAGGGAAGCAGCCTTGGGAGAGGGAGTTTCACAAAGTTCTGAACAGGGGCTCAGAAACAAGAAGTTGAAGTACCAGTCTTCTGATCCAGTTACATTTTAAAGATGTAAAAAACAAAACAACCACCACAGATGCAAGGAAGTCAAGTAATTTTTTCAAGAATCCACAATGATACAGAACTTCCCAAATCGACTTACAATACCTCTTGATTTACTTCCACACAACGTTCCCTCAGCAAGAGCCAACTTTACTGTATTTTTTTTTTTTTAAAGAAAAGTCGTGGGGTGGGGAAAGTCAGGGGTCTTGGGGATGTAGTGCGCCACAAAGGAAAAGACTGATACTCTGATACTTATCCACTGTGTCACCCTGGGCAATTTGCTACGCTTCTCTAGGATTCAGTTTCCTCATCTAAAAAAAAAAAGGCGGGGGGGGGGAGGGGGAGACGGATAATAACTGCTCTTACAAGACCTTTAAGGTCCTCAAGTAAAAGCCTGGGGCGCTAGTCCGGGCCTGTGGTGGGAGACCCTGGCCTAAGATGACTGGAGACGGCCGGATTGTGCGGTGTCTCCGTCAGCCCGAGCCCCAGACCAGCACCAGTGTCCTCGATGGCCACCACAGCAGCAACAGCAGCCACCGCGGCAAACGCCCGCGTCGCCTGGCCTGCCTTGGCCTGGCCTCTCCTCACCTCACAGGCGCCGCGTTCCCAACTCCAGCCTCAGCTCACCTTCCCGACCACACCTCTGCGCACGCGCAGTGCCCGCCTCCCCAGCTCTCTGGAGCCGCGGAATTTGCGTTCAGAGATTTTCCTCCCAGTGCGGCCACCGTCGTTAGGGGAGGAAGGCGGGAGGGGGCGGGGACACGGGTGGGAGGTGGGTAAGCGCGCGCGCCGCCCGTCGGTCGTGGTTTCCTGGCTGCGCGCGGCGGTGGCGGAGTGGCTGCAGCTGTAGCAGCAGCCGCGAAGATGGCGGAGGGGTTGGAGCGTGTCCGGATCTCAGCGTCGGAGCTGCGAGGGATCCTGGCTGCTCTGGCTCCGCAGGCCGGGAGCAGAGGTGAGTCGCGCCGCCCAGCTCCTGGGCCGGGCCTGCCCGCCCCGCCTCCCTCTCCTCCTCTGCCTCCTCCCTGCTCAGTCCGCGGTGCTTCTGAGCCCCCGCCCCTTCCCCCAGCAGTGGGGGCGGGGGCCGAGGGCGGTCCCCTGGCTGCCTCACCAGCCGGAGGGCCAGTGTGGAATCGGGCTCGGCCAGCCCCGGCCCCCTTCGGGAGAGCCCGACCCGAGTTCCTGCCTCCGCCCCCTTTCTCACCGCGAAGGTGACTGTTCCCCATGGCCCCAGCCTTCTCAGAGCAGTTTGTGGATTCCCAGTCGTCAGGAGACGCGGCGAGAAGCGGGTGTTGGGGTCTAGGGGAGGCCCCGGGATGTATCGTTTCCAGAGGAATCATCCGCATGCCTTCCCTGTCATCTCTTTAGAGTTGGAGAGAAGGAACTGGGGAAATCGAGGAGAAAGATTGAACAGCTTGGGACTTCCTTGCTGAACTTTTCCCCCCAAGGCAGGGTTCTGAAGGCTGCGCCACCAGAGGGATCCAGGACCTCCGGTAGAAAGCTGACTCTACTCTGGTTTGCCTTTGGCATATGTGGGAGCAGTTTTTATCAGAGAGAATGCTCATCTTGTAAATTAAATTCTCCATCCACACCAGGAAAGCTCCAAGGAAGATTCTAGTATCTCATCTCTTCTTTGTTAGGTGGTGGAGTTGTGTAGAATGGTAGTTGTGCTTCTGCAGGCTTGTGGCCAAAGTCTGTGAAATTGGTTTTCGTTGGTCATTTGAATGGGATTATTCAGGGTGTTTTCTCCCTCTGCTCTGAGTAGTAGTAGCTTTTCTCATTCCTTCTCCCCACCTCTAACCTAAGTTAAAAGGCTCCTGAGAGTTATTCTGGAGGTAAGCTACTTTACCTTTATTTGCACTTGAAGAAATGGTTTTTTAAGCTTTTGAAAATACTGAAGCAGGGGTTTTGTGTTTTTGCTTCTTTCTGTTTTGTTACACCTGTGGGTTAAATGCTGGAGTTTATTATTTATTCCTGTTATGGGCTTGTTTGTATTGGTGTTTATAGAACAATACTAGGAGTTTATAAAGCATTCTCTTTTGAGTACTCTATAATCTCACTAATTGCGGTCAGTTTCCCATTGACAAGTTTAGTGGCAATTTGTAGTAGTCTCGTCCCTTAATAGGTAAAGGTAACATAAAAAAATTGATACTTGCTTATCTGTGATTCAGTAGGTTTAGGGAGCCTGGAGAGGAGTTTCGAAAATCCTGTACCCTTATTTTTAAGTACTGCAGTCCTCGGTATTTTGAGAGCATGTCACAATACTTTCATCATCCTCCAGAGAAAGCTCCTTTATGGAACTTTTTCCTTCTCATATTCCACATCATAGTAGCAGTTAGTCGCAGTATTCTAATGATAATAGTCTGAGCAGTATTTCCTTGGAATGACTGCTGGCTGCTGTTAGAGAGTTGGTGAGCATGAGTGGAGTTGAAGAATGTGAAAGGAACTGCTTCCTGTTTGCTTCAATAAGAGGTATGTGTTTGGGCAGTTGGTATCCTAAAAGAAGAGGATTGTCCTGGTCAAGTTCAGAGACTGGAGTTGCACATTCCCCCCCCCCCCAGAGGTGTCCAGAACTGTGGATTGTTGTGCATACCCCTCTTTTTCTCCTTTATTCCCTACTACTACTATGTTAAAAAGGGCTTAGCCACCCTGGAAAAATGTTAGAAGCACTAGAAGAAAAGACTAAAATGGATCCAAGGGCTCCATAGCAGAGAACAGTCTGAAGCTCAAATAGTTAGACATCTTTTATTCTGGCAATGATAAAGTAGTTTGGGGTCTTGGACATCTGGCTATGACTTGGGTAACACAAGAGGGTATGTTGTTGTTGTTGTTGTTACTGTTTTTCTTATTTCCCTAATTCAAGTGTAGATAGCTCTGACATAATGAAGTTCTTAGCCTTGATAATTGCTAAACAAATAACTGTAAACCTAGTAGAATTTCTGCCGCTTCAGAAATTTTCTTCCATGTTCGCCAGTATTGGCATTTCAATGTGTTGTTCTTGCTTGGCTTCTCTGTTATTTAACCAGAGTGACGGTTTTTTTTCCTTCCCTCCCCTTTTATTCTTTTCTTCTACCTGTTCCTCCGCAACACTCTCTCCAACATCATAGAAAACATGAAGGAGCCCAGGCAACGCAGAGATAACCGGCGCCCAGATCTGGAAATCTATAAGCCTGGTCTTTCCCGATTGAGGAACAAACCTAAAATCAAGGAACCTTCTGGGAGTGACGAATTTAAGGATGAAATTATTAACAACAGAGATTCCTCTGCTGTTGGAAATGGTACACAGTTCGTTAAGGATGTCTGCAAGGAACTGGATAACCAACATCAAAATGGTCCTGTAGACCCAGAAAATATTGGGGCACAGGAGTCCTTTCCTACGACTTCTGGACAAGAGGATCGAAGTCTAAGAATTATCAAGAGAACAAAGAAACCTGACATGCAGATCTACCAGCCTGGAAGGCGTTTGCAGACTCTTATCAAAGAATCAACTAGCAGGGCGGGTGAGGAAGAAATCCTCAACCAGGTGGAGCAATTGAGAGTAGAAGAAGATGAGTGTAGGGGAAATGTGAAAGAGGAGGTCATGAATAAACCAGACAAAGATGAGGCAGAAAAAAGCCTAAATGGTGACAGAGTAAGGGCTGCAAAGGGAGAAAAAGGAAAGAGGATTGAGAAGGGGGAGGGGATAAAGAAAGTGACCGATGACCTGGCACAGGGGAAGCTAGGTTCAGCAAAGCGCTACTCCCGCTCAGACAAACGAAGGAACCGCTACCGCACTTGTAGTACCAGCTCGGCTGGCAGCAACAACAGTGCTGAGGGGGCTGGCCTGACCGATAGTGGTTGTCGCCGCCGCCGACAGGATCGGACCAAGGAGAGGCCACGACTGAAGAAGCAAGTATCTATGTCCTCAACTGACTCTTTGGATGAGGACAGAATTGATGAGCCTGATGGGCCCAGGAGGAGCTCGGAACGGAAGAAACATTTAGAAAGAAACTGGTCTGGCCGTGGGGAGGGAGAGCAGAAAAGCAATGGGAAAGAAAATCGAGGCACTCTTCGTGTCACTTTTGATGCAGAAACCATGAACAAAGACTCCCCTCTCGTGAAATCAGCCAGGGAGGATGTGGATAGGATAAAGCTTGACAAAGGCCTGAGCAGTGGGGGCAAAGGCCCTGAGAAGCAGGAGTCCAAAAACCTGAAACAAGAACTTCGAGGCCGTGGACGTGGCATTCTGATTCTGCCTGCCCATACCACCCTATCTGTCAGTTCAGCCGGTTCTCCAGAATCTGCACCTTTGGGACCTCGGCTTTTATTTGGATCTGGTAGTAAGGGATCTCGGAGTTGGGGCCGAGGAGGCACCACTCGACGATTATGGGACCCAAACAATCCTGATCAGAAACCTGCTCTAAAGAGCCAGACGCCCCAGCTACATTTCTTAGACACTGATGATGAAGTCAGCCCTACCTCTTGGGGTGACTCCCGCCAAGCCCAAGCGTCTTACTATAAGTTTCAAAACTCTGACAACCCCTATTATTACCCCCGGACACCAGGCCCTGCCTCTCAGTATCCTTATACAGGCTATAGCCCTCTGCAGTACCCCGTGGGCCCTACAAATGGTGTGTACCCCGGGCCTTACTACCCAGGCTACCCATCTGCATCAGGACAGTATGTCTGTGGCCCCCTCCCTGCCAGCACCATGAGTCCTGAGGAGATGGAACAGCACATGAGGAACATGCAGCAGCAGGAGCTACATAGGCTTCTCCGGGTGGCTGACAACCAGGAACTGCAGCTCAGCAACCTGCTCTCCAGGGACCGCATCAGCCCTGAGGGTCTGGAGAAGATGACCCAGCTCAGGTGTGCTGTGTTCCATCCTAGAGGGACGTGGGGGTAAGCTGGAGGTGGGTAGGCTCCTGTGGTGGAGGAGTGTAGAAACTTTTGGCAAGGCACTGGGCATTAAATCCCTTTCACATTGATTTTTGTAAGGAAGGAGTAGTTGGAAAAAAGAACAGAAAATTTGGTTTCTAGTCTTAGAAATGATTATGCTTCCCACTTTTTCTTTAAGAAAAAAAGTCCTTAAGAGAACATGGAATCTGGAAATGGAAAAGGAAAGACTTTCCAGAATGCCAAGAAGTGAACAACATGTAACTTGTGGTGAAGATCTTATTTCAGCTGTTAAATTTAGGTGGAGGCATATGGGGAAAAACCATTTTCCTAGACATAACTGTCTTTAGAATGACATTCTGCTGTGCAGAATAAAAAGTCAAATGAGTACTATACCTGGTGGCATTTTGGATTTCCTGCCAAGGAAGGTGTTTAATTTGCAAGAAGCTCAGATCTTGGGTCTAGCCTTTCTTGTGGTGTATTTGGAGCTAGAAGTTGCATGTATTTTATTCCAGAGCTGAACTGCTGCAGCTATATGAGCGCTGTATCCTATTAGATATTGAGTTCTCTGATAATCAGAATGTGGATCAGATCCTGTGGAAGAATGCTTTCTATCAGGTGATTGAGAAGTTCAGGCAGCTTCTCAAGGATCCAAATGTTGAGAACCCCGAACAGATTCGGAACAGACTTTTGGAGCTCTTGGATGAGGTAAACCATCATCTTTTTGTCCTCAGGATAAAGGCTTTAGCATTCTGTAGTTGTGATGGGTTTTTATCACCTGA